GGCATTTTGACAGTGTGGCTATATAAATCCTGGGTCCTGATGAAGGATGTGGCCCTTTTATTTTCAAGGCAACATCCAAGCTGATCTCAGTTGTGAGTACTGAGCCCTTGGACATTTCTTTTGCACTCTAAGAACTCAGCAGAGGAGAAAATGGGTTTCTAGGTGGTTTGAGGAGAACAGGAGAGAGGTTGACAGGCTGTTCCAGGTGCTGTGCTGTGGTACTGCATTGTAGTGTGAGACTGGGACCAGAGAAAAGGAGCATAAGGCAGGAATCAACCACGAGGAGCAGAAAGGCTGCAGAAGGCCTCCTCTGTGCAGGTCCAGTGTGGCTTTGTTGGGCAGAGCATCTTTCCGCCTCAGGGCCAGGGCTGCCCTACAAGGGCTGTATCAGGCCATGTAGACATGGTGCAGTGGCTGCCCTCAGATGGCAGGGACTTAACCAAGATCCAGATGTCTGGGGACACAAGAGGGAAGAAGCTACATTAGGAGGCAGTTTGGAGAACATCACAGCATTTGAACAGTCTGGCTGACACACGAGAGCCATCAGAGGACTACTGGCCTCACAGAGCATGCGAGGTGCCAGGTGACTGGGGGCTCACTTCCCCAGGTTTTTCACTCCCCTTTAGGTTTCTTGGAGTGTGTCTCTCTCCAGAGGCCCTCCTCATACCTCAGCAGCCACACAGCCTGGGGCAGCCCTCACAGTCCCTGCCAGTGGTGCTTCCCTTGCCAGCTGGCCAGGGCAGCCAATGGGCAGAGGCAGCTGACTCGCTCCTGAGATGCAATGGGTGACAGGCATCACAATCACAGACACCAAGGGATGCCCTACCTGGTGTCCCCCATGGCCAGGATGGGTGGGAAGCCACTGCCCTGTTGGTTGGAGCTGCCCAGCAGCAGGAAGAAACTCTGCAGATGGCAGAGGGCAACAGACTGCAAGCAAACACAAGCTCCATTTGATAGTTCTAAGAGCCAGATTATTATAAATCAGATTGTGGATAAAGTACTGATTGCATTCACCTGAAAAGTTGGTCCTACTTATGAACAGAATGCACTGTTTTAGCCTGCCTCCAAATCCTAGTCAATCTGGTTCTTCCATGGACAGAAATGCTTCTTCATAAACTTTGCCTGGAAATGAAGCCACCAGCTGTATTATTCTGTATGGGTCCAACAAGTTCAGAGTGTAATATGATGGTTTCGCTTAGGGGCCTTGACTGATACTGCCCATCCCTGCTGGGTTTCCTATGGATCCCTGCCCTTAGGTGCCTGTAGTGCAGTGCTCCTGCATCTCCAAAGGGAAATACACACCTCTGTTTAAGAAGGAGCCTAGATACGAAACCTTTCCTGTCTCAAACGGGGAGGATTAAGTCCCATGAGCCTGATGTCAGGTCTGTCCCAGTCAAAATACTGAAATCATCCAGGGAACTTGTCTCTTGATACAAGTTTTGGATCCTCTTAGATTGGGTGGAAATCACTCACAGGGAAGAACAGTACCTTATTCAAAGGCATGGGGATAGGTGCTGTAGGAGGCCCCACATGAGTGGTACAGAGATTTGCAACATGAGCAATGCAAGGCTCAGGCCTTCTATGCTTTGAACATGAACTGCTAAAAATGGGCCCCTCTTTCAGCCCAGAGGCCAGGAATTGAAAAAGGAAAAAACCCATCTCCCTGTGCTTGTGCTGCCACCTCCCTCTTTCTCCTCTGCTTGCGACAGACAGCTCAGGCTGTGAAGACACGGTGCCGAGGTGAGCGTGTGTGTGTGTGTGTGTGTGTGTGTGTGTGTGTGTGTGTGTGTGCATATGCGCACGCCTCTTGGTGCGATTCCTCCTTCCTTGCCAAAACATCTCCTGCTGTTTATTTATTTATTTCTCCCTGATAACGGAGGGGATCGCGTTTCCGGAAGAGTGCCAGCAGATGATACGAGCCCAGGACTGATACTGCCAGCAAACCCATGCCAGCCCTTTCTGCCGGAAAAATTTCATTTTTTCCAGAAGGAAGCCATGAGTGTGAAGCAGAATCCCAAATCCGATTTCTCGGCATTTTTTGTTATCACTCAGCAGCCCACCAGGTGGGGCAATGGAGGGAGCTCACTCAGCTGCAACTCAGTGCCTTAATCCAATTTACAGCTTCTCTTGGAGAGATAATTACAGTCCTGAAACCAGTTAGCACTGTACAAAGAGGCTCTCGAACCAAAGCCCCGATCCTGTCTTTCAAATATTTACCTAGAGTGTCAGGGATGCTTTGGAGAGGGAGGGGGGCACTTGAGCTAAGCCACTGTGAATGCAGAAGTGTGTATAAAATGACCCACCCTGGACACATGTGCCTCACTCGCACACTCACACAGGTTTCCTAAAGCCCCATAGAGATTGACAGTGTGGGACTGTCACCCCCTTGTTCTCCAGCTCTAGCCAGTCAGGCAGTGAGAATGTGGTCAACTCTTTCCCTGGTCATCACCACACCGCTCTCCATTAAAGCCACTCCTGGAGCCACCCCAAGGTAGCCAAACCTGTTCAGTTTCCCCCACTGATCAGTGATAGCACTTGATTTAATACTAAGGTGCAACCTCTCTTTGCAAAGACACCATGGGTTATAGCATCACACACACCAAGTGTGCCACACCTGCAGTTGCTTGCTTGCTTGCTTTTCACAGCAGCTGGGCCTGAATTTTGCACACCCCTTTATCCCTCCACTTGGCCCTCACACAACTGGCCAGACAGGTCTAAGCTTCACAGCGAGGAGGAGTCCGAGGCACTCTGTAGCAGGGCAAAAGTCATGCAGGAGCAGCTATGCTCTATGTAGACATCCAAACCCCATCCTTTTCAGCATCCCAGCTTTTCCGCATTGCAAGACCCATGCCTCTCCCGTCACCATCACAGCATTGCCTTGTGCACCTAGAAAGAAAACATTTCAGGAACTCACTAGTGGTAAAGTCTATGTGGCAGACACCTTTGAGATTTCCTGTTGTATTTCCACAGTGATGTGTGGGAAAGGCGACAAGCAGCCAGGGGATACTTAGTGATGGACATACTGGACTCAATATGAAAATTACCAAGGATGAAGCTTGGGGATTCTGTGGGTTTCCTTAAGCCACATTAAATAACTTGTAAACTGTAAATTAACCTCCTGTGGCTTAAAGATCTTGGTCTTCATCACTCTGATGTAATTTGGGAAGATCTTCTTTGCAGGTGATTTTCAGTCTGCCTGGTATATCCCAGAGATATCCTTAGGATTTAAGCATAAAAAAGGAAGAAAATAGACAAAATACAAATTCTTGGTGTAGGAATAGCAGCTGGTGTAGGAGCAATTGCAGATCAAAACATACAGAATGTAAGTAATCCACAGGGAAGTACGTAACTCCTCTCCCAAAGCCTGGCTAATAGCAGAGGCCAAGTTGTTATCACCAGCTAAATAGATGGAAGTCCTGTTCTGGGAACTCCTCCTCTAGATGTGGGTCTGAAAAGTCTCTGGGGAAAGAATCAGCCAGTATCGCTGCAACTGCATCTGCCATGGAGCACCAGCTCAGACCAAGAGGGACTTTCCTTCCCTTCCACATGCTGAACTGAAGGAGTCAGGCTAGCTCCCTGGCAGAACATCTCCTTCCAACAGGCCACAAAGGCCATGGCAGGTCTGCAGTGACAGAGCTTTCCCTGGGAAAAAATAACCTTTTGTTGCTCTTGTTCAAACATTCAGTCACAAGCAGAAAGTGTACTTGGTTGGGATCCAGGTTCAAGCCCTCACTCTTCTATCCCTTTCCTCTGTGCCCTTGGCCAAGTCCCTCCACTCAGCATCAACAATTGACAGCAGGCACTGTCTCTCACTGGGTGCGCCTGTGCTGGCAGGTACAGTCAGAGCTGAGCTCTGAAGCATGGCGGTACACAGGAGAGGTCAGAGCTGGCTGGATGCAAAAGGCATGGCTTATTCGTTCATACACAGCCCTGGAAGAACGTGCCTAGACATAGAAAGCTGGTACTGAGTGAATTTTTCTCCTTGTGGACCTCTGGCTCAGCTCTTCTGCAGGGCAGACATGCCCCCAATATGGGTTTCTCTCTGAAAGGACTAAATGATGGATGTTACTTTGACTGGAGCCTTACATCTATTTCCTGGAGTCTGGGGTCAATCCCATTGAAGTTTGTCTTCACTCTAGCAGGAAAGGGAGTGGCAGAAACCAGATTTCCAAAATAAAGATACTCCATTTGGAAAGTCTTTGGTCTCTGAAGCATTTGTAGAAACACCTCTTTTTTGTAATTCAACCTCACTGTGAACCTTAAAGTGCATATCTGCTGTGCACTGGATACTCACACACTGGACAAGTTTACGAACTCCCCAGCTACCCTGGCAGGTCCTCACCCTGGCAGTAGTTGCAACGTGAGGGCCATAAATATATTCCATGAGAGCAGCTGCTTGTATTTCCTACCAGTGTATTAGCATCTAATCCTCTTAGCTTCTTCATTCCTTTTGCATAATATTATTGTCCAGTAATATGAAACATAGAAGGTTTATTTTGAACCATGCTGTCCCTCCTGTGATTCAGGTCGTCTGAATCAATGCTCTAGCTCTGGCACTTGGCTTTTCCATTGACTGCTCCTGTGGCATTTTTGACCCGCCAGGAATGTGGCTAAAGGGCAGCTGGAGCTTTGCTTCCTAGTGAACTTCCTAGCAAAGTGTGGTTCATCTGAAGCACTGCCTACCACTCACGGGGATGCCACCCCTTGTGCAAGTGACATTCATTTGGTTTTCATACCACATCTCCATCAGAACCTGTCATCCTCCAAGAGTGAAACAGGGATACCTTACATCCTGCCTGTGTAAACACCTGTATTTTCACCTGCCTTTCTAATGTAGCCTATCTCTAACGTGGGATACAAGCACCCCATTAGCAGGTTACTGTATGGTTCCCTGGGAGGTCTATGAGAAATTAAGTATACTTAAGTAAGTATAAGCATATAAGATATAAGCAGTAAACAGCTGAAATCCATGGATTTCTTCCTGTGCATCCATCTGGTACCTGGGGCATAACCTCTAACAGTGAGCAGTGGAGAGACCCAGACACACAAAATCACCATGCTGATTGTGCCAAGGTTAGAGAAGCACTTGCAGCAAATGAAAGCACTGGACCAATGCTGACCCAAAGGGGAAAGCAAGGCATTAGAACTATGCTTCTCAGCAATTCACAGGCTCCACAATGCACGGCTATACCCACTTTCCCTATCACAACCCAAACTGCACACAAATAGATTGCATTAGGAAAGCCCAGGAGACCTTCCAGTCCTACATTATATCATGTCTTCAAAACAAATCTGACCAATGACACCTTCTCCTCTGGAAGACAGACTATGGGCTCTTCACCTCAGAGACATTTTCCAATAGATAGACAAAATCCATAGCCATTACAGGAGTGCTGGTAAAGTCGTTAGTATTAAATTGAATTACTATGCTTGGGCTTGAGGATGTTTTATTGTTGGGTTTGATTTTTATATTGTTGGCTGTTTCACTGAAGAAGCTAGGATATAAGAGGGGTAGGAAACCTTTTAGGTAAAGGAGCGTGTATCCAGTGGCAGCATATCAGGAGGCTGGCTTTAATGATGACTTTTTACAAATAACTGCATCTTTTAAAGAGTTTCCTACACTAAGCCAAATCCTGGAGGCCTTGCTTACCTCAGAATGTCATGATTAGGCCTGAAGTCTTTTGTCAATGATGTGTGCCTGGATCCAGGGAGGAGTTCCACCTTTGCTGGAACTGCACTACCCTTAAAAAGCACAGGAAATACAGAACTAGGGATTATTTAGAAAGAACAGATAAAAATGAGAACAGTCAACTCTGGTCAACCTGATGACTTCAAAGGGCGCTGAATGGCTCCAGTCTGTACCATCTCAAAAGCTGTGGTTTATGCAGCCTCAAACCAGGTACCTACTGTTGGTTTGGTTGGTTTTTCTTTTTCTGAAACCTCACCTTATGTTGCTGTTCTAGCTTTGTCTAGACTCACAAAGCAGCAGCATATATAGATGGGAGAAATACTAGATGTCTGTGTGGAGTACAGTGCTGAGGATCCCCTGTGCCCAGCAGGCAGATAAGGGTTGGGAGGAAAGGACATGACTCTATCTCAAACCTCCTTTGCTTGGTGTAAACAGCAGCCTAAAGGCTGATGGGAATTTTCCCCCTTCTCTCATTGTGGTCTGAAATGGCAATATTTCACTGAGGATGATGGAGCTGAGTAAAACAGCACTGCAGCCAGAGCAGCTGCCAAGTGGCCATCAGGCAAGACTTTGTCAAGACACATGGAGCTGGGCTGGGACCCAGCAGGTCCCTGTGGAGTCCTGACCCCTTCCACCAGGTCCAAGGCGCTTCCCCTCTCTCTGGCAGCAGCACAGCCGCTCCCAGGCATGCTGCTGCCGCTGAGCTGTGCGGCTGGAGGGGATGGCACATTGAAGCAATTTGCCAGACTGCATGACAATTACTAACACAGATGCTCCTGTGTCAATATGGGCTCTTCTCTCTGTTTTGGTTACAGCGATGGGTGTGCCTGGCGGGGACTCCTCTCAGCACAGGCCAGTAGGATTATGGGGTTGGGAAGGGGCCATGTCTGCCTGGGCTTCCAGGGCAGTGGCAGCCTCAGAGGCTGTCCCTGCTCCCTCTCCTCCTCTAGCCTGTTTGTCAGCGTCTCCAGCTGCCTGACACCACCACACATTTCCCTCTGTGTCCCCCCTACACAATACTGTGGCTTTGTCTCTGCAGCATCCCTGCTTTGCTGCCAGTTTGGTGGCTAGGGATAAGGGAAAGGGGCAGTGTCCAACTCCTCCTGCCAAAGGCTCTGAATCTCTTACGTCTCCTCCTCCTTTCAGTTTCTTCTACTCTCACCATGCCGCAATTGTGTCGCTTTTAAAAGGTATATCAGTTATTGCACAAGTGCCAACACATTACACTGTCTACAGACACAAGAGAGGTGAGATGCAGCAGTTTTCAACAAGGGTCAGGACAGGCATAAGGAATTACAGACAAACCCCTTTGCTCTCTGAGCAGTTCTAGGATCCATCTTCCCCTACCGTTTTTTGACCAGCACCAAGGTGTAGATAGTTTTGCCTGCTGAAGCCTGAAATGTAGGCAAAATGTTCACATCCAGTAATTCAAATGTCATCAGACCCCATCCAAATAGAGAAACGTCATCAAGTTGATGTAAGGACCTCAATCAGATGCTGTTAACGGTACACACTGCCATTGCTCTGCACACGATGATGCTGTCCTTCTGAGTGTCTTGGAGACTCCAAAATCCCAGGAGATATGGTACAGCGATTGATCAGGTCTGTATGAACATAAGAGTCTTCCCTCTGGCTGCAGCTTTAGCACAAGGTGGAAAGATGAGCAGTCCTGGGCTATTTGTTGCCCAGAGCTGCCTGACCTTGCCCCTGCAGAGGTGGCCTAGAGGGGCTGTGTCCAGTCATGTCAAGCCTATGCCTCATGGCTGCACCCTCACCAGTGCCTGTCCCAAACTGAGACATGGCAGTCACTGCTGCTGGCTTAGTTAGAAAGCACTCTGCTGTACTTCTGCCAGCCAGCACATCTTGAGATGACCTGAGATACTACCGCTTTCAGCTGCCCTTCTTTGTTAGCTACTCCTTGTCCCCTGTTCCCATCACAGGAGCACATCCTGCTTCCCACAGGCTGGAGCAGCTGAGGCACAGCCACGTGTTGCCCTCTGCCAACTCAGCAACAGCAGATGGGTCTCCTGGAGAGGGCCAGCAGGGCCAGTAAGCTGGGAGGAGATCATGTCTCTGAGAGACTTCATTGCCCACCAAAACAGTTTGGTAGCACACTCTACGTAACACCAGGCTTTTCTCTTGCCCTGTAGGGATGGCTACTGTTGGCTTAACTCCAGGACAAAACCATCTCGGGATGTATCCTTGGTACCTTCTGCCCTTTGAGGAGGCCAGCAAATGGATCTGCAGCTCCTGCCAGACCTGCACCAAACCAGCTTTCTTCTGCTCCTCCTCTGCCAAAAAAAAGCTGTACTGCTCCTTTAAATGTGGTGCATGTTAAAAAAAAATAAATTGACAAGCTACCTCACTCTCAAAAGAGTGAGAAATTTTCATTGATTGATTTCTTCATGGCTTCTTAAACAGATAATTAATTCACCGTGAACCTGCGGACACACCGTCGTGAGTCGTTAATATTGTAAATTCACATATACTTCAATAATCGCCTGACCCCCCCGTCACCCCGAAAAACAGATAGCTGTGCAGCAAGGAGGAGGGGAATGGGGGGAATCGATTTTCGAAGACATGAAGGGATCACCCAGCAAAGGGAAGCTATTGATTCTCTTTTATAAGACACCGCTATAATATTTATTCTTTTGTAAACAGAATTAACCCAGCATCATGGGTCATTCCTATCGAACAACTTTCCTCACATGTGCACAGCAATGTTGATTGTACCAGATGAAGTAGAAACATCCAAACTGCACCACCCACCCTGAACCACACCTCAGCATCTGCTCAGCTCGTGCCGGCCATGTCTCACTGCCATGGCACAAATCCAGATGGTGCCAGGCTGGCCACAGCAGGGATGGGGATGGGATGCGCAGGTATGAGCATCCCAGGAAGTGGCCACGCTCTTCTAACGAAGTGTTGATGGTACCGTGGTGGTCCTGGGCTGTTTTGTGCTGGGGAGGAGGTGACTGGGGGGCTGCTGCAGCACAGACAGGTGTGAGGACCCCATCACATTCAATTTCTTCTCTGACCACTCATGGCAGGGGATGCAACCAAAGGGTCTATGCAGGGCATCATACACTAGAGCCCTGAGGCTTGGTGGTCCCTTGCACAGAGAGAGTAGAGACAAGAAGCAATAGGGCTGCCTGTTGCTGAGGCACAAGCTGCTGCTTCTGGAGGGACAACTGCATTTCACCCACATTGAATTTCAACCCAAAAGGAAATAAGAGCCTGAACATGAAAAGTGGCAATCAAAAGCCAAGGGGAGGATTCCAGATCGAGCATCCCAATGAAAAGCCAACAAGATGTGCCCTAGTCCAGGAAGGATCTGTAAATCCTGGCTAGAGCTGTCTTCCTTGTGTGTAGCTGCATCACCCTTCTCCGTAAGAGACTAGTCACACACATTCAAGTCTCTCAACGACGCATCTGTGTGGGACATCACAATGTGTCTTGCATAGAAAAAGATGCAAATCTTCGCCTTAGATTACAGACACATGTGAGGTCTGAAAAGCCTGGGGGATGTAACCGTGAACTCCTGGCTGCCCATCAACTCCTGAATTGCCCACCAAGTACCACCATGCAGTCCAAAGCAAAACCAGAAATCATAACAACACATGGTCTTATTTTCACCTGCCTCCCAGATGTGAAACCTTGTTTTCCAGCAAGCTCTTCCCGTCAGGAGCCACCAACATGCCACACGAGCTGTGACTCGGATTTTCACAAAACAGAAAAAGAAAGATCACGCCTTTGTCACGTTTCATGGGCTAAACCCAGAGCCCCTGGTGTGGAGAGGTGGTTCGGGGCTTTTAAGCTGAGGGGTGGACCCTTAGCAAGGCAGCGGAGCCCAGTTCGGCGGCTGCCAGGAGCGGTTCGCTCGCTTTGCCCGGGCTGGCAGAGACAGGACGGCTCCGAAACGGCCCCTCCACCTGAGATCCGGCCGTGCCAGGCAGCCGGCACTCCGGTTGCCTTCACCTCGCCTTTCTCCCGTCCCGGCCGGCAGCCAGGGCAAGCAGGAGCGAGCGATAAACTGTGTCAAAGCATTCGAAAGCAGAGGGGGAAGAGGCGGACGGGGGCCGGGCGGCAGCGGAGGGCCAGGCGCGGGCAGCGGAAGCCGTAATTAAAAGCGAGGCCGCGGGCAGGCAGCGCTCCATTCAGAGGGCTGACAAAGGGAGGGTCTGTGGAGCAGAACCGGGAGGCAGTGAAAGGAGGGGGCCCCGCGGAGCACCTCGCCCGCCGGCACGGCACGGCACGGCACGGCACGGCAGAGCGACCCGTCCGGCAGCGCCCGTCTGACCCGGCCGCTCAGGCTGCCATTCCCTGCACGTTAGCAGAGCCACGGCCTGCGAAGGGAGGGAGCGCCAGCCCCCCAGGTCACCTCCCAGCTGCCCGCCGGTAGACAAGCACCTTTCCACTCCAGCAGTGCCCCTGAATGCACTAATTAGCCCCAAATCTTGGTGCTGGGGGAGGCCATGGCAGTCCTGTGACAGCCACGAGTGGCCTGGCCCTTAAGGGAGAGTCAACGAGGTCCTGTCTTCCCTGTGGCCATGGGTGGGATGTGGTGGGTGGAAGCCCTGTGCTGGGTATGGGGCCAGCCCTGTGGCACCCCTGTCTGTGAGGGTACCCCTTGGTGTGGGGGCTCTAAAAAGGGGGCTGCCTGGCTTTGTGTTTTCTGGGGGTCAGTACTATGAAAGGCTGGGGGGAGAAACGAACAAGAGGCCCAGAGCTTGTTGAAGGGCAGCCTGTACATCACAGTTAATGCGGGGCTCTTTCCAAAACAAAGGGTCTCTATGGCTTTCAACATGTTTACATGACAGTGCACAGAAAGAGCACTGAAGTGGCATCTAAAGGATTCCCTCCCCACCTCCTAGCTCTTTGCCTTCCCTCACACAGCACATATTCAGCACCATCTCCTTCTCCTCAGACCCTTTCGTGCTACAAATTCGTGTTTTTCTCTCCTAACACATGCTTTGCCTTTGAGGGACTTCCCAAGGCTTTGCTGTGAGGCATTCACAGCTGTGGTGCCCCATACACTCCCAGCTGAGGACACTCAATGGAGAAGCTCATGGATACAGGAGTCCTAACACAGTGGGCACATGTTAGGAAGATACTGCTGGTGAAGGGTCTACCTAGGTCCGCCCTAGCTCTAGCCAGTCTTCCCTGGACTTGAGCAACATTAGAATCAAGTCTTAGCTGAGGTCACCCTATTACATGTCCCTAAGTGAGTTCTGTCTAAAGAGGGGAGAAGAAAACCATGATTCAAGTAGGAATCCTCAGGTTAAGTCAGTGGCTGCACCAGGGCCACATGGTCTTTTCCATCTAAAGACCAAGGCAGCCCCAGAGATGCACCATCCTTTGCTTGGCTAGCAAAGGGACAGAGATAGGTATAGGGAGCTATGTGAGAGCTCAGGGATAGCAATGGGACCAGTGAAAGAGCTGAAGAGAAAGGTGAGCACGCAGTGGTCTCGCTAAGCTAAAACCAGTTAAACTAGGTTGACATAGAGCCTTTTGTCCTGCTGCCAATGCAGAACAAACCACATCACCTGATGTAGCTGGCTGTGTTATCAAGCTCAAGGATTCATTAGCTCCCAGACCCCCTGTTATGGTGCTCACAGCCCTCATAGCAGCGTGGTGCCCCTCACTCCGAAAACCTGCAGAAGTCAAAGCCCCTCACAGGATCTGACATGGTGAGGGGAAAAAGTGGCATGGTATAAAGGAGTAAAGAGCAGGCAGCAAACCAGGGCCAGGGATTAACCAACTCATCTTTGCTTCTTCCCTCCCATGTCTTCTCCATCCAGCTTCCAAGGGCTTCCAGCTGGGGCTCCTTTCTCACCTGTACACCCCATAGCCCCAGAGGCTCCCATTACACTCCAGGACCCTGATAATGACTGCAAACAGCCAGGAGGAAACTGAACAACCCTAGTGTGAGTGTAATTGCCTTCAAAGCTAGCAGTGCCAGCATGAAAGACTGTTTTCAGTATGAACAGCCTTTCCACCATCACATGCCTCACCCAGGTGCACATCTTTTGCAAAGGCCCAAGGGACTGAAACAGCTCTGCAAGGCCTTAAGAGAAGGGAAATTGTTATCAGAGTCTCCTGTTGACTCCACAGCCCACCAAGGAGGCTGCTGGCTTCTGCAGGCCGTCCCCCATCTGTTGGAATAGCAGGAAGTTTTGCGTTAGCAATAAAAAATACAAAAAGCTGGAGTCCAACTGGTGACTGAAGTCTGGTGTCAGGCTCCGCTGCGGAGATATCACAGCTGCATACAGTGCCTGCTCTCAAAGAGGTGCTTATTAAACATTTGCCTTGGGTTTATTTTCCCCGTTTGCTAAAACCAAACATTCACAACAAGATTCTGTAAGGGAGGGCTGCAAATCAGAAGTTTGATTTCAAAAACCAAATCCTACCAGCCATCTGACTCTTGTTTCTTCTTCCTTTGCTCTCTGCTTTTAGCCTTTAGAGAGGTTACTTTGAAAAGCTTACAGCCACATGGGCTACTAGTGGTATTTATTTTCTAATTAAGAAACCCAAGTTTTTTAACTAAGTGATCAGGCTTTTTAAGAAGACCCCAAGTAGCCAATACACTCTTTAGAGCTGGCAAAAGGGGTTCACATCACAGAGCTATCTCAAGATATAGAAAGGACTGTTTTCTAAGCTGGATATTTTTGTGGAGTTCTTGCCTTTTTGCACAGCTGTCCAGATGCTTTCAGTAGCTGTAGATACCTTCCATGCATGAGCTAGATCAAGGCTTAGGAGCTGGGCAACAAACTGGACTCCCAAAATACAGAACACACACATGAATGCCCGGCTGTTTGGAGGAAAGCTCTCATTAGCAAGACTAAATCAGCAGAGCTGTGGATGTGATTCAGAAGTACCAACATCCAAATGTCAACAACACATCAGGTCTCCAAGGGAAGTGGGACAGTTAGTAAGCTAGTAGTACCCACAGCTTTGCATCATATAGGCCAAGAGCACATGAGCTTCTTCCCAACTAAATACTATTCAGCTGCACCTGAAATAATTTGAAGTAGATTCCCCACTGAGTCTGGGAAGCTCTGGCTGATTCCAAGCTCATCCACTGAGCCTTCACATTTCCCACTGCCACATTTCCCATCTTGGGAAGCCGTGATCCCTAGGCGTCGCTGCTTTGATTGCACACTATACACAAGCACTGCAGTGCAGCATCCACAGGAGCATGGCATCTCCTGCCTGCAGCTCTCCTGGTGACTGGGCCAGTCCTTGGCATGGTCAGCATCAAGCTGGTCTTCTCCAGCAATCTGGGCACCCAGGGGAAAACCGGCCTCCCTGTGGAGCCACACTGTGAGGCACTGACACAGATCGATCCACAAGCTGCCCCTGATGTTCTCCACTTCTGATTGCTACATTTTTTGTGACAAATTGATAAACTGCATCTCCACTCAGTTAAAGATTTGATCTCGCTCTCTTAATCCGCTATCAATAAGATATTAATCGTGCACCCGACCCGTTCTGTTCCCCGTCTGCCTGCAAATCCAATAATCATTTCAGAATTCACAGCCGAGTGGGGCACTCCCTTCAAACAATTAATTTCAGGGGACTCTCATTTATTTTCCCTGTAACCCTCTTCCACCCCACCCCTCCCCTGCTTGCCTGTCTGTCCCCTTCTCCCACCCCTATCTACACACTTGCCAGCTGAAACTCTTGCTCCGCAGACATGGGAGGTGGGAGTGCGATTTACACTGGGGGCTGGAGAGGTCCTGATGAGCTCCCTTCCATTTGCTGCTCCACACAGCTGATTAATCCCACCTTGCCCAGACCCCAGGGTTCTCTAAAGGTGGAGGCCAAATTCACCCTGAAAATAATACCTTGTCCTGCAGCCAACTACCCTGCAAGGAAGTGGGGCACATCCTGGCCTGCATGGAAAGGTGGTGAGCTGACACACAACTCCCTGACTGGGGCTGAGGCTCTGGGTGCCAACTGCGTGCTCACCCACCAGCAGGACATGGGTGAACCTCTGAACCTGGTGGGCTCAACCTCTGAGTGTCCTTGTAGGGAGGTCACAAGGGGAACTGCCTCCCAGGTCATGCCAATGTACCCGCCCCACAGACAGGGGGGATAGCTCCAGGTACATTGCCCTTTCACCGTGGGTATTGCTATCTGTGTGAGAAACTCTGCTCACTCACCGATCCCACAGTGATGGGATTTAGGGTTCCCCTAAAATGAGATAAGTACTACATAGCTCCTCTCCCACCTCCCCTGCCCTTTGCTCTGCTAGTGGCTCCAGATTTCCACCCCTGACTATCCAGGGCAGGGTTTGTCCATGCCCAGAGCCACGTGCCTCAGGGCAGGGCAGGTAAAGGCTAATTGGGTGAGGAGTGTGGGCCATGAGGATGGGTGAACTGGTGACAACAGAGCTTTATCCACATATGTCATTGACATCTTCTAGTAGCCCAGGCTGCTCTCTATGCACTTTTTGCTTTGGAGTTCAGGGCTTTTAGCTTCTCCCAACAGTCCAGAAGAGAACTAAGCTTCTTGGCCAGCTGTGCTCTCAGGCAAGGTCTCACTGCATCGTTCTTTCCCCATCCAGCATTTTCTGGCACTGCGTCTCAAGTGCATCTCAACAGCCAGCCCATTTTAGATGAGGCTGGTAAGAAAATTAGTCTATGCAGTAATTTTCTAGCCACAACATTCATATGAAGGCCACATACACAGAGTAGTTTGTGCCTCAAACTTGCTACCAGAAGTGCTGAGGACCAAGCACAGAGCCCATGGGGAGGTAAAAGATTGCAGAGAGCACCACAGAACATACAAAGTCCTTCATTATCCATGCAACAAATACTAAGGAAAAAGCCCATATTAAAGTGTCCCTCACTGTCAAAGGACTCCCTACTGATGTGCTTTTTTTGCTTTGTCCTCTGTTATCCTCCCTTTTTACCTCAAAACCCACAGGAGGCAGAAGTGTTATGATCAGAGACAGGAAGGACTGGGAGAGCAGAGCTGTAGCTAGCAATAGCTGCTGTTGGCATCGGCAAGAAGGCCAGAGGAAAGAGCGGCTCCGCTCCTGTGTGGGGACAAGAGCAGGGCTCTGACAAGCTCTTTAAGCTCCCCAGGCTCCAGAAAATGCTGTGCAAAGTGTTTTAGCAACAAAAGTCTTGAGAAGAACAAACACTCTAATCCCTTAATGAGCCGGCTGATCCCCCATCCTGGCTCTGGCTTCTGTAAAGAGCCACACGCTCCCCTTCTCCCTGGCCCCGGCCCCCTCCGGAGCAACCCGCCGCGGTCGCCTCAGAACCGATTCAAGGTGCTCTTCGGGATCCAATCCAATTACCCTTCGTCCTGCTGAGCGGCCCCACAGACCGATGACTCTTTCAGGGCTGAGTCTTATGGCCTGTTAATCCTCCCCTCATTAAAAGACCTTGTTCCTCCTCCTCAGAGATGGAAAAAAAACCCAACCCACAAAAAAAAACCCAACCCCACACTGGGAAAACTTTATGCAGGAGAGCCCCAGAGTGGAGCACGGAAGCTGGACTGCAAGCCGTGGGCTCTCCCCACTCTCAGAGGTCACCTCTGCACAACTCGGGGGTGTCCCTGCCTCCTCCTGCCCCCAGACCTGGCTTGTGCATGAAGAAGACAGTCAGGCAACTGGCCCTCATGCTGTTCTTGCACTGTGGCTTTATTGGCTTCTCTTTAATGGGCCTGTCATTAAGCCAGAAGGAACCTGGGTGGGAGGGTTCCCATAAAACTAAGGCCTCACAGCTAATGAACGCAGCACCGGGGGGGGGAAAGGACACAGGAGTGGCAGTTGTAGTTGGTCATGCAGGATTGAGCTGGCCTTTGCAAGGACAGGGTCCCTCCTCGCTGGGAGAGAAAATGTCAGAGCAGCCCCCTCTGCCATCCACCCCTCTGATCCCACACATGCGGGAGGGACTGAGGTCTCCAGCCCAGAGGGTGGCCATTCCCACACTCAGGAAGGTCTCCTAAACACTTAGCTGGAGGGATGAGCCAGAGATCAGTCAGCTGCAACCACCTCCTAACAAAGTGCAGTGTTGCCTCCCTTGGGGTGATTTTGCTCCTTTCCCTTCTGCTTCCTTCTGTCCCAGTCACAAACCCCAGAATTTTTCCTCCAGCTGCACATGTTATCTAAAGTCTGACCAGTAGCTGCTGCTGATGGTGCCAGCCCACTGATAAGAGTATAATGGAAGAGCAGGATGACGCCTCTTCTGAGGAAGATCCACATATGTACAAGCCAGGCCCTCCCTGCAGTCTTCAACTCACCCTATTACAAAGGGCAGTAAGGAAATAGGGTAATGCCAAGAAAGTACTTCATGGTCAGCATTTTCTAAAATAAATCATAGTTCTGATTGTTACTGTCTAGTAAGCTGGATTTACATCCCCGCCAGAACATCACAGAGCACAGTTTCAGTTGTAGGTTAGGCAGGATGGTAGGATAACAGCAAGGACTTCTTTTTAAAGATAAGGAGATGAAAATGAAGCATAATAAAATTAAGGGAGAAACCTCCTGACAGTGAAACTCATGAGAAACCTTCACTGTTTAAAGGTTTTGAAGACTGCACTGAGGAGAAAGGCAACAGGAAATATTTCAGTGCCAGATGCACTTAATGTTGTGGTACGACAGGTAGCACGGGGCTTGGGGAATCAGTTTTGTTCTTGGCCCTGATGCCAGCTCACACTACAGCCTCACCACAGACTAAATTCAGTACACACTCAGATGCTGCCACCATCCCTCCTACTGACTACATACAGAAGTCTCTTGCCAAATTTAAGCCCAGCCAGTCAGGCTCTCAGAAGTAGCACAAGCATCATGGCTTCTGGGTCCAGGAGAATGGTAATAATTCCCCCAAAATCCTCTCAGAATTGAGGCAGTCCCAGCATTCACTTGAAAGCAACTACAGAAGTGGTCAGCCTGCCTCTGGAGGTGCAAGTGATCCTGGCAGTTGGAACATGTACAAAAGAGAGCCACGAGAATGAAGCAGCTCATTTTTGTGGGGCAAGTGGCTGGTCTCAGTGAGTCAGGCTCCGCTCTGCCCATGCACTATCAGGAACATCTCTAACAACACACCTATGACGCTCTGATGCAACAGGTCTCAGGATTACATGTGACTGCAAAGGATTTCAGCATAACAAGAGGCACAATTATGTCTTCCCAAAATTTTGTCATAGCAGGAAATTGGGGCATGGACTTACTGAGCATTCTCAGAGTCAGTATCTGAATTTTCCTGTTCTAAGATAGCCAGCAGGGAGAGCAGAGTAAGCTGGAAGTGACAGTTTTCAGTGTGGTTTCATTTTGAGTTTAGTTTTCTGGGGGGAAGGAAAGAAAAGAAAGGGGGGGTTTAATTTCTTATGACTTCTCTTTTCCTTCCCCAGCAGAAAAATTCCTCACCAGTCTGTCATTCGCCCCAGGGAGGTGAACTGCATGATCTAATTGGGCATTATCTCAGCCTTCTCCAATTTCTCTCTTGTCACACAGTCTGCTTTTTGACCTATGCCAAGAGAAACAACGTTGGCATGAATCCTTTTTGGCTTTGACAGAGCCTGTTTCTGCTCAGCTCTCTTCCACAGATTCCTTCTAGTTATGCCATCTCATCCATTCACTTTGCACTTGCACATTTAACACCACAATTACAACACACAAGATTAGAAATCAGACTCACCTTTTCCCACCTAGTGCTGGTTGTTTCATTGTACTGCCTTCAGCAGGACCACTGAAACTCAGCTAGTCAGCTTCACTTTCTCTTAATGGTCAGGTTCATTTTTTATCCTCTTACTGAGCCCAGCCATCTGCAGAGAACTGCTTTGCTCAAGACCTTGGTCTCTTTCTCTGCTCACCAGTCATCTGCCATTAGGTGGTAAGTCCTCCCATGTTGTTTGAAATTACTTCCTAAATAATTGCTGTGAATGATTGAAAATATCTTGGTCAGCTCTGGCTGGATGGAGTGGTCACACACACTCCAGCATTTTCCCTGTGGGCCTTCAGTTGCTTTTAAAGTCATGTCTTGGGTGACAGTCCTGGAATTTTTAGAACAAAATAATTTTCTATTAGCTCCTACTAGATTTTACCTGCAAGTGCCTTGGTTTGCAAGTACTGTGGCTAGTAAAGCTGCCTGCTAGAACACCATCAGGAAACACACATTGAAGAGAGAAATCCCAAGGAAATTTAGTTAAGATTTTTGTTAGATAGCACATTAACAGAAAATGCTTTCTGTGTGATGATTGAAGTCATTACAGGCCGAGTTCAGCAGTGCTGCTGCAAATGCAGACCTGGTCCTTTGACACCACACAGAAAGCTGTGAGCTCTGGACTTGAACCAGCGAAATATTTAAGCACATGAGCAGCTTAAGGAATGAAGTGCATGGTTAAATACCTAGCTACATTGGGGCCAAAACATTTGGCATCTTGTAGGATTGCTCCATAAAAATGCTTTTCATTTTAAAAACAGGTCATGTTTTCATCACAAATGTACTCAGAATTACCAACTTCCTTTTCAGATGGAATTTACCATGGTTATCTAACTTAATATCATGCCTTTAACCATTGTCTCTGCAGGCAGTTATGTAGAGAAGGGCTCTTCTTCTATGTTGTCACTCACTTAGTTACACCACAAAGCTCATTTCTTGCTGAGGTGTCAGCCTGGGAAGGCCCCCGTGGTTGTGACCAGTCTCAGCAGGTTCCAGCAAAGAAGGGAGGGTGGTCTGAAGCACACAAATATGCAAAGACTCATAATCTACAAGGGGTATGTTCCAAAGCAGCGTTTGCAGCAGAACATCAAGGTGCTGGCCCAGATGTCAGATACACATGTATAAGCCAGACTTTCTCTCTTTGTCAAGCAATTACCTGCACTGTGGTTAGCACAGGAGACTGTGAGATAGAGATCAGAGCCCTCTGTGCTATCAGCATGAACACAGAGTTACTGTCCCACAGACGTTCTGTCGAAATAACCACAGTAAAGGCTGGAGGGGAAACAGCCTTAACAACAGGCAGAGTGAAGAGCTTGCCCATCTCTCTCTGTCCAGGAGCAGTCACTGGGGTTAGTGGTGGTGAAGGCTACAGGACAGTGGCACTTCCCACTTAAAATACCACCTCACGAGTTTAATGGAGCTGGCACATGGCCCACCATATTTTCATCTTCCCAATGGCAGCTTCACCAGTCCATTCCTGCACCCAGACACTGGAAGCCCATGGGGGCAAGGAGGTACATCAGTATCCCCCAGAAGTGATAAGTAAAGAGGAAGTCAAGCTAGATGGCCTTTTACTGAATCCTCCTCTGGGGGCCATAAATAGCTCTTTCCTCGGTGACCCTCAGCCTCCCACAGCCCTTCCCCACCTCCTCCCCACCCCACCACAGGCTGCTCCTTGCCCTCTACAGATCATTGTCTCCCTGCTAATTGCCCTGTCTCGGAGGAACAGGTCAGCAGCTTCAGGTGAGAGCCAGAGAGAGCTGTTAATAAGTAAATGATAAAAAAAGAGTTACAGAATGAACTTGTATCTTGCCAGGACTTGCCTTGCAATTTGGCAGCCACCGCCGTCCTGTTGCAAAAGGGCTCAAGCTCTTTTTCTCTCTTGAGCCAAAATTCTCCCACTAACATTAAGCAAAAATATAGGGCTCCAATACCTAAAAGTGCACCTGTGTGTGTGCGTGTGTGCAGGTGTTGCCAACTAAGAGACTACCCTGATAAGCCACACTGCATGTCCATGTCTGTGTTATTAAATAAAAGTCTGAAAACAATGTGCCTCCAGCTCATCTGTACTGTTTAACTGCAGGCACCCTGGCTGGGAAATGGGTCTGTCTTTTCAGTGCCTGGACACAACATGTGCCACCAACCAGCCCTACTGGACAGCATGGAGAAAACCTCCAGCACCATGCCAGCTGTCTTGCACACCATTGCAGGCTGCACCTCAGGGCCCCATGGTGCTCTGGAGAGGATGTTTCCTGAGATGGAGTGGGGGTGTGTTGCAGTTTACCATGATTTCTTCTCTCAGCATGAGCCCAGTGCCATGAGGGAGCCTTAGTGCTGCAGAACCTGCAGTCACAGCCATCCACTACTGTCTCTAAGTGCTAAAAAACACATTGAGCTCACAGGAAATCACCTCTCAAAACCAAACACAACATAAAAGACAGACAAAGCATTTGGACTTCTCCCTAGACAAGGAGCTCCGTCCCAGAGGAAGAAACTTCTGATGTTAGACCTCAGAGCAGATTTGTTTCCACTTCCAGAGAGACCAAATTTCCCCTGGAAACAGCACCCTGGGCTCTCTGTGCCATCTGGCCTATAGGAGATGCTGTGCCTCCTGCCTCTCTCCTGTTGCTGTCCTTTCCCAGGAGGAGGTGCTGCAGGGTGGTGGCCACACTCCTCCGCTCCCCGCCTTTGTGAGCCTAACCCCATGGGGTCTCGTAATCCTTTGAAACCGAAGTTGTGTTGATGGATATATTTGCTGGGTGCCTCCCGTCTCTCCTGGGATCGGGCTGTCCTGTCTGGAGGCTCTGTGAGGGAGAGGGGTCTGGAGTTTAAGAGCGTTATTGTTACCAGAGGAAGGAATTTTTGGTCCTATAAATCAGAGTCAGGCAGCAGTAGGGCCAGCATACTTGGGCTGTGTGAACAAACTTCATTTCCTGGGAGACTGGCCTTCAATCACCCTCTGTCATACTCCACTGATCAGAGGTGGACATGAGAGGAGTTCATTAAGGTGGAAGAAAAATAATATAATAGGTCCTCCCCATGCATGCACTATTCCCGACCCCTGGGGGTGGCAAGACACCCCTTCCTTGTGCTGAGATCCAAAACACACATGCACACACACAGAGTCACTCACCCTGAATATGCTGGTATTCCTCTGCCTAAGCAAATTTCCTCCTAAAAATGGACACCTCGAACATAGCCTGAGGTTTTTTCTGGCTACTTTTCAGATGAACTCAGTCTGTTGACTCGCTTTGTAATTCTTGGCTGCACTCTGCCGGAGAAGAATCAGGCCCAGCACTTGGTGCAAAAGGAATCAACAGTTTTCTGACCAAAACAGAAAAGCTCAAAGCTCTCCTTGTTGATTTTGTTTCCTGGCTTTCTGAATGGACTTTTTCTTTCTTTCTTTTTTATTAGGGGGATAATCTCTTCTGTTTCTCTTTACTGTCCTTCAGCACTGCCGATTGTGAAAATTATTGAATTAAGGAAAAGGGCAAGAATGACAAATAGGCAAAAATAAAACACAGTGAATGAAAAGAGAAACCAGTTTGAATAATGGATATAGAAAAAAATTCCAAAGGGGATGGTTGTTTACAAAAGGTTTTGTATTTTTGAGAACAAATTGCGAGCCAACTGTCTACTGGAAACTTGGGAAAGAATTCTAGTAAGTCCCAAGAGACTGAGATGGTGTCTGCCGTGGACTGCTCCAGTGATGATACCAAGTGGAGTAAGAGCTCTTCAGACTTCTGAGCTCAGTTGTGCTGGTGACATCCATTTGCACGCATCACAAAAAGTGTAAATGAAAGAAAGTCATAATTGGTTGTTTCAACCACTTTGAAAACACTTTACTTAGCAGTTCTTATGCTTAGAAGATACAAACACAAAGCAGAGAGTTTGGGTCCATATGACTCAGGCAACTGATAGAAGATAAATTATGTTATTTTTGAGGTGCTGCCTGAGTCCAGCTTGAGGCTGATGGACAGGGGGTGCTCTCCTCCTCCTGCATGGGAAATAGAGGCACCCATGGTTTAGTGAGCTCCTTACAGGCAATTTGACTTGATGCCTAGTTATGCTGCTGAGCTGAGCTCCTGGAGATATCTGTAGTTCTGACTGGACAGAGAAGGGAGCATAGGCACTGCCACCCCAGCGTCTTCACTCTGCGATGTGGTTTAGAAGCACCAAATGCACCCAGAGGAAATCAAGAGAAGGATTTTGCCTGAACTAATTGTGGGAACAGGCAACCCTGGAGCTTAGAGAGTGCACTGTGGAGAAGGAGACTTTGCTCACAACCTTGACTTCACATGGCAGCACCTCACTTTGCTCACCTTTGCACTGTTCTGCTATCGACATTTGTGCACATCCCAGCGGTGGTGGCCATCTGCAGCATTAGCGTTTCTTCAGCCGCTGCTGGAAGGGGAAAGCCCAGAGATCCACATCTTCTGTCAAGAAAACTGGTTGTATTGTAGCGGCTGCGGGATACACCAGTTCAGTGCATCCTCTGTGGAGATCATAGAATCATAGAGTCATAGAATAGTTAGGGTTGGAAATTCCTTTCCTTATGATCTCCTTTGAGAGACATTGTCTCCAAGGAAGGCAGCAAGGTCCATCCACAGTAGATGAGCTATCCTAACCAGCATCTGGCTGCTACTGGTTTGAAAAGCAGATCTTATACTGGGGGGTATAAAATGAGTTGTTTCTGCTTAATATCAAGAGGCTGAAGCTTGATGGTGAGGCAGAGCAGAATAGCATTTAATCATCCTAGAAAATGTTGGAGGATGTCCTCAGAAGGTTTCTTGTAGGGACACATGCTGCATAGAAAACATAGAACTGTCTGGTACCAACATCTCTAGAGAACTAGATCACACATTTCAGTGGCACTTGATGAATAGTTGGTGAAGGATTTCACAGGCCTTCCAGATGAAGGAGGTTGTTGGAAAACAGGACTATGGGGTGAATTTTCCACCCTGGTTGTTCATCACCAGACAGGCTGTTTGCAAATCTGTCTTTTTATTTACTGTGTGAAATCTTTCTGGATGGATATTTTACACTAGTATCTAAAAGGACAGCTGTGCTGTTGTTAATGGATATACATCTCTGTTGATTTTCATTCTGTTTAGCATATTTGCATTAAGGAAAAGTTCACTGGGTTTGTTGAGAAGTGCCAGAGAACAAGGATGAATTAACTCCAAGCTCTGCTGGACTGGAAAGCAAAGGGAATAGAAAAACTGAGCTAAAAAGCT